GGGTTTAGGGTTTAGGGTTTAGGGTTTAGGGTATAGGATTTAGGATTTAGGGTTTAGGGTTTAGGGTTTTTCATAGGGTTCCCGGGTTCAGCATCTCAATTCAAAGCATTCAGTAGTCAGGCAGCCTGTCGAGCGACGGAGACATACCCACCGTCCCATTCGGTCCCACAAGATTAGGAACCTATTTCACTTTGTAATAGAATTCCTCAGGCCCTAAACCCAAAACCCCAAGACCAATAGCTCCTTCGCTGGCGGACCAACGAGTAAAACGAAGTCTCCACGCCAGTTTCCACGAAAAATGCCCGCGCAGAAATGCCTGCGCAGAAATGCCCCCACGCCATTCTGAACAACACTCGCGACATTTTGAACAATGGCCGCGATTTGTTTTAAAGAATGTCCACGAACAATTTTGAACAATGCCCACGAAATCTGGATAAAAAGACAGTGCCCGCGCAATTTTGAACAATGCCCGTGAAAATTTGAACCATGCCCACGCACAGGGCAGGGTTTAAATATATATATGTTCAAGAGAGGTGTGGGCTAAAGAGTTCAGGGGCAAGGGTTCCCGAAAGGATTTATAGAGTAGGTTCTGGGTACCAGGTTCAGGGCTTTTAGGTTGTGGAGCAGAGTTTCAAGCATTCAAATGTTTGGCCTCTTGCTGATTCACCCCATGGGGCTTCCAAGTTAACCCTAAACATCCCTAAACTAAACGCCGCCAAGCCCAGGCGCACAGCGGACTTATTGGACTTATCATATGTTCACAACCTTAAATCCTCAGCCCTCGGCTCTCTGGACCCCTAACGGCGCCGAAGTCCTAAAGGCCGTAAGCCGTGTAAACAACCCTAACAGCCCAAGGCCCTTTCATCGTTTCTAACCCCGTATGGAACCCTAAGCGGCGGTATCAAACCCTGATTCTCACTCACCGACCCCGATCAGTCGCCTGAGGCTCCGAGCCCTAAGTTCCTCCAGCCGATTTAGGGTTTAGGATTTAGGGTTTTGGGTTTAGGGTTTCCGAAACCCTCAACCTCAACCCGGCCAGGGCTTAGGATGGTGTTGAGCTCAGGGTCTAGAACAGTTTGCGCTTGAGGGTTGTGCATTTGGACCCCTAAACCCCAAACCCCAAAAACCCTCAACCCTAAACCCTAAACCCTAAGTCAGCTTGAGTTCCTTGTGAGCATCGAGGAGGCAGCGCGGAAGAGGCGGCGTTGCGTGGCCATCCCCTATCCGGCCTTCGAGGCACTGGTCTTTGCTGAGGGGTTTACAGGGTTTACAGGGTTTTAAGGGTTTAGGGTTTAGGGTTTTCGGGTGCGGGGGTTTAGGGTTTCGGGGTTTTTTCGGGTGCAGGGTTTTAGGGCTTTCGGGTGTAGGGGTCTAGGGTTGAGGGCTTAGCGCTTGGTGGTCTGGGCCTCTGCGTGTGTGTGTGCGTCGAAGGGATATGGTACGAGGGTGACATAAAGCTTGAGGGTTTTCAGGGGCCCTTCAGTTCCACAGCTAGGCGTTACCACTGCCCGGATTGCATCAAACCTAAACCCTAAACCCTACACCCCCAAACCTTATGTGCGATGAATTCCGTGGGCTTGTTCCCTCCGCCTTTCGCCCTCCCTGGACCAACGCATTCCAGAACGATGGCTAGTCATCTCTCTGGGGGCTTCCGTCCAACCCTACAACCCTGAGCCCTAAACCCCCAAGGGCAGCATCGTCAGCCCTAAGCCCTAAACCCTAAACCCTCGGAATGCTGCGATTGTCAGCGACTTCATCCCCTGAAACTCCCCAGTCAGGGTTTGGGGTTTACAGGGGTTTATAGAGTTTAACCGCTATAGTGCTTTAGTGTTTCTAGGATTTGGATTGTAGGGGTTTAGGGTTAGGGCTTAGGGTTTAGCCTGAAATCCTAGACCCTGAGCCCGAACTGGAAAGCAAACGGCTAGACCTCCTGGAAGCATCCCTCAATAAGGGCCTAGAGCTATCAAGGTGCCCTCACGTCCGATACCCAATGGTCGCTGGGTCCCGAACGTGCCAAGCTCCACATCCTGTGGATTCGGCCCCGCATTCCCTCAACTTCCCTTTTTCCTTGCCCACAAGAATTGAACCCTCTACCAGCTCAGCCTTGAACCCTCAACCCCAACCACCCCAACACCGAACCATCATGATGTTCTAAGACCCAACCCTGCGGCACCTGAATCGAGATCCGGCGTGAGCTTTCGCCCCTGCCTGCAGAACCCGCCAAGCAGGTGCGGCGTCGGGCCTCTTGAGTTTGCGGTTTAGGGTTGGACTTTGGGCTTCGTGTTTTACCTTCAAGGTGCCCCATATAGTTCTCCAGAATGAAGGGGTATTTAGGCCATTAGCATTGGTAGTTTGAGGGTTTTTGGCTGACCTTCAGAGCCCATTTATCAAATCATGATTATCGTACGATCTTTTGCGCACCGAATAAGCAGCATACAGCTCTGCGACGAGAGCGTAGTACTTTTATGATTGCGCTGATGATCATCACTATCATGTCTATGTCTATTCTTCTTCTTATTAAGGACGTTCGCGCTTATAGAGTTGAGGGTGTGGTGATTTGCTATGTGGGCTCAGGTTTATACAAGTACCTTGCAGGGCCGTAAACCTAAGCCTTAATCCCAAGCCCGAATTACGGACCCTAAGCCCTGAGCCCCAAACCCTCAAAGCCTTAACTCCTGCGCCCAAAAACCTAAACCCTAACCCTAAACCCCAAACCCCAAACCCTAAACCCTAGAACCCCAGACCTAGAGGCCAAAAGACAGCCTGAATCCCTTGGGGCCGTTTGACTGGCCTGGGTTGACTGCTCCTTATGCACCACGGAAGCCAAACACGAACAGTCCCACGACGACGTAGGGCTTGTATGGGTTGACATTGCGTGTACATGGGTTTATACGGATGGGTTTTTCCGGGTGTATATGGATATACATGAGTCAGGGTTCAGGGTTGACTAGGCTGTCTCTTCAAAATTGTTCTTCAGGGGGGCTGCTGGGAGCAGTTTGGGGGGCCCGGGACAAAGGGTCCCTCGAAGTTTCCGCAGAGTGTTGGGCCCAAAAAACCAAGGGTCAAAAAATCGGGCCTGATAGTCATGTTGGGGACTTCTAGAGCCTTGTACGGCTGATAGGGCTTAGGGTTCGCATACCCCTCAAGCAAAGCTGAGCAGGAGGCTCCAGATGAGACCGCCGCGAAGACGGAAGTGGCCTAAGTGTGCGAAGTCACTGTCGACCCACGCCCCCTCCCACTCCAAACCATCACTGCTAGGATGTCCAGTAGTGCCCCCTCTTCTTGCTGACTTCCCTCAGGTACTTCGCTAATTCACTTGGGGTTTCTGTCACCAAGAAATACGATGTGTGACCCAGGATGCTCCTTGCTCCTTTAAGAGGGCACCTTCCTTATGTCATCGGGTATTGACCTAGCCACAGCCTCCTTTAGGCAAGCCTTAAACCTTGTGGCCTAAGCGTGTCAATCCCCAAAACCCTAATGAATGGGGGGTCTCCGAAATTCGGGGGAATCAACCTTATTGGGGTCCTTCTTACAAGGGAATCCGACTACTTGGGGTTTATGTTTGGGGCCCCTTCTTTTCGTCAACCCCCCAAGTAAACCCTGAACACTCTAACGTACCTCTTAGCCTGGTAGCCCACTTGCCTCAAGCAGCAGACGTGGACACGGAAGCCAAAAGCCAGAAGCCATGTCGCGGTTCTCTTGGGCATTGCTTCTACTAGGGCACGCCGTTGCCCAGAACACTTCTGCCCTCAGCAAGCAGGAGTTGCTGAGCAGGACATGGAGGTTCAGCATCCCATTCATCGTGGCTGGACTGCTTCTAGTTCTCCTCGCCATTGCAGCGGTTCACTACAAGAAAACAGGTGTGATCTCCATCGGCCCTTTTAGCTACAGCCGCGCGGACGGCTTCCAGCGCTCCTTGTGCCTCGGAGAGCCAGGTGGTCCCTATGAAGCTATGACATCAGATTCTGTGCCGGAAATCGGGGCAGACACAGTGTCTGCTGTGACAAAGACCCCCGAGCTGCCAGGAGCTGTAGGAGCCAGCGCACCCCCAGAGGAGAAACCGCCTGAGGTGCCGGCGGAGAAGGCGCTGGCGGCTCAGGTGGGGCCGTGGCATCTGTGGCGCTCGCGCACCTTGGTGATGATGTTTGTCATCTACATTGCAACGTCGGTTGGGGTACCCCTGTGGAAACGCCGAACAGCCTCTTGCGAAAATGGGTTTTTCTGGGAGGACCACATGCCATTCCTGCTGGTGACAGTATCCGTGAAGATCCTGGAGCTAGGCATCTATGCCCTGGACTCCTCGATCACGGGCGAACTCGACTGGGTGACCTTCTTTTTGAAGTTTCTTCCCTCAATACTGGGCTTTGTCGACGGCTACACGGATGCGACGGCCATCACCATTGTTGCAGCCTGCGACTCAGAACTAGCACATAACCTGACGATCTCGATGTTGACGTGCTATATCATCGGTGTTGTCCTTACTTGCCTACAGGGACGACAGCCATGCATGCCTTATGAAGCTACTTCACCTGGATGCTCTGGCCAGTTGCATCACTCTCCCTGAAGAGCAGAAGAGGACCTGGGAGGGGGTGAACTTTGCCCGTACTTTCGGCGAAGACGTGCCCCAAGCCAGCAGACTCTCTGTTCCTCATCTATGTGAAGGACAACCCCTTCATGCTGCCGTCGGTCGTGATCAGCGTGGCATCCTCTGCCAAAGCCGTGTGGGATGCCACGCACCGCGAGCTCCTGGCCGCGGGCTCTAGAGACAAGCTGCTGGCTGTGTTGGGTGGCCGTGATCCTGAACAGCCTGAACAGTCGGATGACCATGATGCTGCAACGGATGACCGTGATCCTGCAAAGAGGCTGGTCAATGTCCGTGCTGGTTGGGGGTGGGCTATACATGGACTCGTCTTTGAATTTGGGGATGGGCAGCGCCGTGGCACGATCCTCAGCAACTCGCAAAGCAGACTGCCCCTGACAGCAGAAAACGAAGCTGCTCGGATGGGAAGCCTCAACACAAGCCTCTTGCACGACGAAGAAGTCGTGGCCATCTCTGGTCACCACTGCACCAGCGGCTACCTTTGCCATACCTTGGTTCTGGAGCTTAGTTCTGGAAGAAAGATCGCGATGTCAGCAAACCAGCCTGACTGGAAGGGGCGGGCTTTCCGCTTTGCCGTGAGCCCAGGAAAATCCTTTCAAGATGTAGAGTTTCGCGATGGCCGCTGTTTGCGGCTTGTCGAGTTTGCCTGAACAGCTTTCCTGAGTCACTGCATGAGGCCAGCACGGATAGACTGTAAAGGGACTGGGCATTGATCTGTGCTTACTCGACCTTCCGTGGCTGTACGTGATGCATGGTGCACCAAGATACAGTTGGTGCGCGCTCTACCTGATACCTTTTTGTATGCAGTGCTTGTTCTTACCGCTGACAACCAGCAGACGCTGATTTACAGGAGTATTGTGCAACGAGGGCTCTTCTACTACTTACGATGCTATACTCGGCTGGGTACTGAGGAAGCTAACTCTACACCCCGAACCCCTAAACTCCCCATGCTGCATGTCTGACCGGACCCTTCTTAGACTTCGACAGCCCTCTTGAAGAGAGAGATTGGCGCTCGACATGGGCAGTGCTCCACCCTTGTGTGGCGTGTGCTGTTGCGAAAATCCTAGAACGTTCGGCATCCAGATCCTTCTTTTGGTACATTCTGCGTCCTTCTACTCAGGGTCTATGCTTGGGGGTATAATGCTTGGTAGCTGGCCACGCCGGGACAAGGAACATTGCTCAGAAAAACCCGCCTGAATTCCTAGGAGGGTCTTGCGTCTGATCCTGGCACGAAAAAAAGAGGCGCGTGACAGTTCTATCGGCCCGGACCTCCCGAACCAGGCAGGCGAAATATCTAAGGCATCATCGCTGCAGGATATTGAGGGGACAGTTTAGGTTTCTGTAAGGTTTGTGAGATTCAGGGTTGCTCACGCGAACCGTTGGTTTTTGAGCCAAGCCAAGCCAAAACAAAACGAGCCGAAAACCCTAAACCCTAAACCCTAAAGCCCTAAAGCCCTAAAGCCCTAAAGTTAAGCCCTAAAGCTCTAAAAAACCCTAACCCAAAAACCCTAAACCCTAGACCCTAAACCAGCCAGTGGCCCAGGCTCCGGAGTCGTTGCCGTCGCCAATCACCATCCCAGACTCTGCAAGGGCCCGATGATTCAGGGCTTTGGGCCTAGGGGTTTATGTAGGGTTTAGGGTTTAGGGTTTAGGGTTTAGGGTTTAGGGTTTAGGGTTTAGGGTTTAGGGGTGCGAGGGCTTTGGATCTTAGTAGGCCTAGAGGCTTCGGTTCAAAGGAGCTCTGGGCCTCGGGTTTGGCGTGTACGGTGGGCAAAGTTTCGGTGGAGCTGCAAGGCACAGCAGCCAAAGTCTAGCGAGATCCTTTGCTGGGCCCTGAGCCCTGCTTTCACCCCTCACATCAGTAGCAAGGGGTCATACATGTCACATGAACCGTCATTCTGGCTGGTTCTTAGAGTAGGGAATGAGGTACCCTATAGAATCCCTTGAGGGTATACATGGGGCCCTAATTCCCTCATTCCCTACCAAGAAAAAACAACGCAGCTCGGAGGTTCGGTCGAGTGTTTAGGGGTTTAGGGTTTAGGATTTAGGGATGCATCTGAATTCTGGAGCATTGAAGTAGCGTCTTCGGGGCTCTCACGCAGCACTGAGCATGGGCACTTATGGGCACACGTCTCACGCGCTGACCCTGAAAAAGCCCAACAGCCACTCCACCCCCCTCGCCCCCAACACCCCCCAAACCACCCCATACCTCCAAAAAGTCACCCTAACCCCCACCTAAAAATATCCCTAAAACAACTCAAAACCCCCGAAAAATGTCCCAAAACCCCGCATCAAGTACCCCCAAACACGACTTCAACCATCTACAAGTCGTTTGCCAAGAAGGTCCCGCCCGAGGCTTCCACCCCGGATGTGATCTTGGTGAAGGGTGAGGCAGGGAGCTGTTCATACATGAAATTTTCCGAAATTTGTGGTACCCTATTTATTGGGGGGGGGGGGTCCCTTTTGTTGGTGGGAATCCTACTATTTGGGGGTCTATTTCAGGGGTCCCCTTTCTTCACAAACCCTCAATGTTGCAGAGCTTTGTCATGCTTATAATCTTTATCATGTTAATTAAATGTTCAAAATGTTTAACATGTTTATAGTTTGTGGAATGTAGAATGATTCTACAGACCCCCCCCCCAACAAAAAAACATCAGATAAAGCCGCAGTATCCAGTTTAGTGGGGCGTAAGTGGATTTGGACAGTTGACATGAGTGTGCTGCAGAGGGGACTAGTGCTTCAAACAAGGCTTCTGGGTGTAGGGAGAAGGATATGACTAGTTGGGATGTGTTTCAGAGTGAAATTTGTGTCGTCTGTTGCTTCTTCGGTTCCCATGGTTGACTGCGTGAACATGTTGACTGTCCCGTCAACATCCTGTAGACACCGCGTGAAACATCAGAAGCTACTACAGAGCCTCAAAGAAGCCAAGCAAGCCATCCCGCAGACAGAGCTGCGACTGCCCAACACCTCGAAACCCTAAACCCTAAACCCTAAACCCTAAACCCTAAACCTGAAATCTAACCCAGACCTGAGTGCGGTCTCCCAAGTCGAAGCCTGAACCCGCCACACCAGAGTCGGAGATCACAAGGGCTCGTAGGGCTTAAGTTTTCCATGCCAGGGTTTAGGGTTTAGGGTTTAGGGTTTAGGGTCTATAGGGTTTAGGGTTTAGGGTTTAGGGTTTAGGGTTTAGGGTTTAGGGTTGTTTAGGATTTAGAGCTTAGGGTCTGGGGTTGAAGTGTTTAGGGCTGTAGGCCCTGGCACAGGATCCGAAGGAGCTTTCGGTCGACACACGCCTGACGCGCCCAGCCTTCACCGATAGCACTGTCCAATCTTGGGGATGCGGTTGTTCGGTTTGTGTGAAGGTTTAGGGTTTGGGTTTAGGGTTTAGGGTTTAGGGTTAGGGTTTAGGGTTTAGGGTTTAGGGTTTAGGGTTTAGGGTTTAGGGTTTAGGGTTTAGGGTTTAGGGTTTAGGGTTTAGGGTTTAGGGTTTAGGGTTTAGGGTTTAGGGTTTAGGGTTTAGGGCGCCTTCCTCCCGAAACCTCAGAATCCTTAACTTTCAATCCTGGACAGGAAGACCCGAGTGGCAACCCACGATGTCAAGCCCAGAATTTTGGACTCTCTCATCTTTAATTTGCTGCGTCCACCCGACTCATGTTCAAGCATGTAAACCAACTGCAACAGGCAGGCACCAGTAGCGTCCAGGATGTTTGATTTTGATGCCCAGTAGACTCACCCCCCCCCCCCCCCCTCTCCTCCGGCCCGCCGTTTTGGGGTTCAACCACCAGCAGCCAACAGCACCAAGGAAGAAGTCTCTCTTCGAAGAGGGCACCGTCATTGAAATTCCAGAGGAGAGTTACTGAGTTGTTGTGAAGTTCCGAAGGGGCTTATGTTTGGGGTGTTTGTTTCTGGGTTCCAAAATCCATGATTTAGGGCCTGTTGGTGGTCCCTAAAGCCTTGTGCCTAGATCTGGTAGACCTGGTGTCTTGCCTAGGCAGGCCTCGTGAGGCCACATTTTTTGTGTACGCATGCTGATCCCTTCAGCCAACATAAAGAATCACCGAGCCAATGAGCCCAAAAGGAACCCACCTAAACCTCTAAGGCTAGAGGCGTTGAGGACTTCTCAGGCTAGAGGCGTTGAGGACTTCAAAAGCCTGAACGACCGATCCTGGCTATGAAGTCTCGTGACTGTAGTGGTCTGTTCTGTCAGATTTTAGGGGGGAACCCTAGACCCTAAACCCTAAACCCTAAACCCCTTCGTCCCCTTCTCCAGCTTGTGAGGAGATGACGCCCAAAGGGCCGAGTCCGCCACTGGGTAGCCAGGCCACGTTTTGCTCATTTTCTGTTACACTACGGGCCTGCCGCGCCTTGGAAGGCTCTAGCTGCTCGGGTTTAGAGTTTAGGGTTAGGTTTTAGGGTTTCGGGTTTCGGGTTTAGTGTTTAGGGTTTAGGGTGCAGTACCCCCCTGAAGGGCCCAAAAACCTCCATCACCTGATTGACATTCGGGTGCTGAAAGCCTGAAGACTGCCTTCAGTCGAACTCCAAGCAGCCCACGAACCCACTGAAGCTCAAGATCTCACTCCGTGAAGCCCCGGAACTGCCGTAGCTTTACAGCCCACATGTCAGCCCCGAGCGCATGAACGAGGGTTTCGGGTTCGGGGTTTAGGGTTCGGGGTTTAGGCTTTGGGGTGTAAAGGGTTTAGGGTTTAGGGTGTATAGGGTTTAGGGTTTAAGCTTTAGGGTGTATAGGGTTTAGGGGACACCCCCGCTCTACACCCTAGACACCAGCCCTCCGAGGGTCCGAAAGCCCTTGCTCAGAGAGGCGTTCAAGCCACCGGAGACCCCCGTTGCAGCCACAACCGCAACGTCTCCCTTCCAGGCGGCTTTGCTGTTCTTCGAGGTGTACAGGGTTCAGAGGTGGGGGCTTGCTACAGGAGCTGCCCCCAAACCCTAAACCCTAAACCCACTATGCAACGTTTGCATCCAGAAGCCACTTGAATGATTGTCCTGATCAGTTCTTTTCTATAACAATCCCGCTCGTGATGATGGTGCATGGATGCTTGTTTCTTTGCATGACTAGCTTGTTTTTTATGTGTATCTCGAAAAGTGTTTTTAAGCAAGGAGGACCAGCACTTCCTAGACGGGTTAGGCAGGGGCTTTTTAAGGGTATTCTCATGCAACCCTCAACGGTAGACCCTCCCTCACACACGCACACACCCCAAAAACCCAAGCGAAGCATAAGCTTTCCCTACAATCAGGCGCCGTCGCCTTTCACGCAGACGCCATCGGCAGCACAGGCAAGGGGATGAGTCGTATGTATGGAGTTAGTTATTGATATGAGTTTTCCTATATATGTGCACCTTCTTTTTCTCCACCCTCATTGGGGTTGTTAGGTTGTAAGGACAACCATGCCCACAGCGAGAATCACCCGACACAACGGACGCAGCTGCGCTCTCTACTACCACTCAGCGAGATAGGAGGACATGACGGCCAGTAGGCCAATCAGGCCGCCGATTGCACCGAAAAATGACCGTATAACGGCCAGCAGGTCTCTTAGGCCGGAGATTGTTCTGAAAAGCAACCGCCGTGTAGCTGCCCCGCCATACAGCGGCCAGAAGGCATCTGAAATCTTGAAATCTCAGGCCAGCAATTGCACCACAACACAGTGGCCAGATAGCAGCAGGCCTCTCAGGCCAGCGATTAGCAGCCAGCAGGATTCTCAGGTCGGCGATTGCACCGCAAGACAGCGGCCAGCAGGCCTGCGATAGCACCAGAAACATTTGCCGCCATTGATAATTAGCGTGCAGCAGGCCTCTCAGGCCGGCGATTGCACCGCAAAACAGTGGCTATCTAGCGGCCAGCAAGCTCTCGGCGATTGTGTCGAAAAGTAGCCGCATACAGTGCAGCAGGCCTCTGGCCGGCGATTCCACCAAAGAATAGTGGGCCAGCAGGCTTTTCAGGGCGGCGGTCCCCTGTATATTCGCAGAGCAGACCCCTCAAGCCAGTTTCGTTCGCAGGTCAAGAATTGCTAAATTTTAGCCTGCAAACTTCCGCTTTCCTTCTCTGCGCCACCTTCTGGACAGGCCGGAAGCATCTTCGCGCCGCCGACACCAGTGGAGGCCCTGTCCGTGAAGCGATGCCGCTACCACAAGACCTTGGTAGGGAAGCGGTACCCTTCTCCCCTTTTTTGTTGGTTCAAAGTTCCTTGTAAAGTAACCAACCCCAAAAAAGGGAGCCCTTATTAAAGCTATGGTTAGGGGCCTACCAAAAGACAACCCAAAACCCCCAATCCCCCTCAGACATAGGAGTGCACGCTGTGCGCTTGGTCTTGCGCAGACGTTCTTATTTTCCTGTACAGTGGGGGCTTGGGGCATCCGACCACCCCCCCTCGACGCATAACCCCTTAAAGCCCCAAGCCCCCCAAACCCTAAACCCTAAACCCTGAACCCTGAAACCCTAAACCCTAAACCCTAAACCCTAAACCCTAAACCCTAAACCCTAAACCCTGAACGTACGCGATGCGTCGCACTTGCAGGTGCCCCCAGACTTGCCCATCGAAGTGGTGGACGACGAGCCGAACCAGAAGCTTGCAAGAATTTCAGGGTTTGTAGGGTTTAGGCTACCCTTAAGTAATTCCCCAAGCTCTGGCCTAAACCCCAAATTCCACATGAACTCCAAAACCTGTAGGCTCCAACTATCACGCACCCCGGTGGGAAAAGAGAAGCAAGCAACAGCACGAGCACCTACGTACATCCACAAAGTTGAATTGTGTGTAACAGACGGTGCTCTTTGCCAGATCGCCTCAGCTGCAGTTTATTTTTGCAGCGCCGAAGTCTGCATCACGCCAATTCAAAAGGAAACTCCTCATGTGAGGAGAGCACGAAACCCTGCGAATTCCCTGGCTTGGATTCCCTAACTTGTCGATGATGCGCGCTTCCCTAAATCCATGTTGCGACGCAGGGGGGGAGCCACTGTTGCATTGAAATCTGTCAGCTTCCAGCGGTTTACGGGTTACTTATTTAGGTGTTGAGGCTTCGCACGTTTGGCACTTATTATCTGCAGTTTTGTTGAGCATCTCTTGCCAAAACTTTCTGGCAGCTGCTGCGTAAACCTTAAGCCCTAAAACCCTCAAACCTCAAGCCAAACGGCCTAAACCCGAAGTCCCCCTAGAGCCTCAAGGGTCTAGGGTTTAGGGTTTAGGGTTTGGGGGTTAGAGTTTAGGGTTTAGGGTTTAGGGTTTAGGGTTTAGGGTTTAGGGTTTATGGTACTTCGATCCGGCGTTTTGGCTTGCTGAGGGCCGTGGCACTTGCGCCAGCGCCCGGGTCTCCGCCCGACGTGGTGCTGCCCGAAGTGGAGGAGTGGAATGGGTTGCCGGGTTTACGTTTAAGGTTTAGGGTTTAGGGTTTAGGGTTTAGGGTTTAGGGTTTAGGGTTTAGGGTTTAGGGTTTAGGGTTTAGGGTTTAGGGTTTAGGGTTTAGGGTTTAGGGTTTAGGGTTTAGGGTTGGGGTTTAGGGTTGGTTTAGGGTTCCGGGTCTAGGGATATGAAGGTTTTGGGGTTTTCGGGTTTAGGGTTTGGGGTGTAGGGTTTCGGGTTTATAAGGTTAGGGTTTTCGGGTTGAGGCTTTACAGGGGTTTATAGAGTTTGGGGGGTTTAGGGTTCAGGGCTTGGGGTTTAGGGTTTAGGGTTTAGGGTTTAGGGCTTAGGGCTTAGGGCTTAGGGCTTGGGGGTATGGTAAGGAGCTTGTACAAGTTTCTTTTGGACTTACGGTTCTAGGCTGGGGCCTAAGGTTTTGGGGCTTTTGGGGCTTGGGATTACGGTAAGAGCTGGAAGGCGCAGCCTACACCCGAAACCCTAAACCCTAATAAACCCTAAACCCTAAACCCTAAACCCTAAACCCTAAACCCTAAACCCTCCACACCCTCAAACCCCTGTAGCACCTATGACCTATGACCCCCAGGCCCCGAACCAGTCTTGCCAGGCTTGGGCCCTCGACCAGGCACCGCCACCGGGCAACCGGGGCAGGTTGGATTTTAGGGCTTGCCTGAGACTCCCAAACCCTAGCACATGGCAGGACATCACCGCTTCTCAATGCCGAAATAGTAGACTCCCAAACCCTAGAAAATGGCGGGTTGTGACCCCCTAAATACCGAAATTTGTAGGTACATAGATCCCCGGATCGGGTTTATTGCTCGGGGTGTGGGATTTGTTGGCCTTCGGCGTTTTGCATCCTTGCTTTGCGCAAACAAGGGTTTAGCCCAGCCAGGTGTATCCAGCACCCTAAGCCCTAACACCCTAAACCCCAACCCCCACAAGAATTGTGCCTTCTCGCTCAGGCCGAGAAAGTCCTTTGGGATAACTTTTTCGCCAACCCAGAGGCCGTTGTTTTTTTTTGAGGGGGGGAGCGAAAGTAGGGTGTGGTGCTTGTTGTTTCCTAGAGATTGTGTTGTGTTTTTGTTTGTTAAAGTCCAATGTGAACCCGCAGCATAGAATGTTTTCTCTAGGTGTTGGAATTTCGGAGGTTTTTTTTCGGATTGGAGGTGTTCAAGTAAACCCGAAACCCGAAACCCTAAACCCTAAGCCCTAAACCCTAAACCCTAAACCCTAAGCCTAAACCCTAAACCCCCTGCATGCCAACACCTCGAGCATAAATTTAGGGCCCGCAGCAAGGAAAGGTGGACGCCTCCACACACTGATCTTGCATCCCCCGAATCCTGTGGTTAAGGGTCTAGGGCTTAAGGGGGTTCAGGGGCTTCAGGGGTTTCAGGAGGTTTAGGGCTTAGGGTTTAGGGCTCAGGGCTTAGGGCTTAGGGCTCAGGGCTCAGGGCCTAGGGCTTAGAAGTTTTAACTTGCACCCTCCAGGATCCAATTTCTAGAAACCCTCTTGGCCTCCCACTGCCAAAGCCCCCTAAGCCCCCCCCCCTAAGCCCCCTTCAAATCCTCAAACCCCTCAAAGGCCCCTCAACCCCTTGAAGCCCCTTAAGATAAGCCCAGGAACCCTTCGGGCTCTCCTCTTAAAGCCCTAAAAGCCCTAAAAGCCCTGAAAGCCCTTAAAGCCCTGAAAGCCCTGAAAGCCCTGAAAGCCCTTAAAGCCCTTAAAGCCCTTGAAGCCCTTAAAGCCCTTGAAGCCCTTGAAGCTCTTGAAGCCCGAGGAGGAGGTGGAAGAGGAGGAAGCCCCCGTGGCAGTGGAGGGGGCCACGGGCCAAGCCCGTGTGGAGGCATCCTGCGCTTTGGGGATACAGAGGATTGAAGGGTGCCCGCAGCCGGACTCAGAAGACTCGAGAAGGGCAGGGTTTAGGGTTTAGGGTTTAGGGTTTAGGGTTTAGGGTTTAGGGTTTAGGGTTTAGGGTTTAGGGTTTAGGGTTTAGGGTTTAGGGATATAACCTGTATCAGGCAATGCTGGTTTTTCGGGCGCGGGATTTACTGAAGCTGGTTGATCTACGTCTTCGGGAGTTCCCGAGGGTTTTAGTTGATTGTAGCCGAGACTTGAGACCCCTAAATCCTAACCCCAAAATCTTGGTTCATGCTTTAAGTGTTGGTTTCTAGACCAGGCGAGATCGCGGACTGCAATCTGCCTGGTCCAAAAAGCAAAAGCGTGATACACTTGACATCCCCTCAATCCCCCCCCCCCCCGCTTTACCCCCCCCTTTACCCTAAACCCTATACCCTAAACCCTAAACCCTAAACCCGGAGACGGGTTACAGTAAGGTCCCGCCGAAGTTCTCTCAGAAGCGAGATCTTGGCGATAAAGACCCTAGACCCTGAACCTCTAGACCTTACACCCATCACTGTGGGAGGCGGCTGAGTGCATCGAGGATGATGACGAGGAGGTGAAACCGCAGGCTCGAGGACCATGCAACCGTAAAATTCGAAATGCCACCATCTACAAACCGACAGCAAGAAGCAACCCCGCCGAACACCCAGACAGAAGTACATTTTCTGCTGTATAGGGTCAGAGCCTGAAAACCCCACAGCTGATGTAGTAGGCCCTCATGTGCAAGTAGATGTGGCCATGTAAGTGGTGTTGCCTTCCCCGTGTTGCTGGAGGTGGCAGCCAAAGAGGCTGCCGACGACCAAGACGAAGACGAAGACGACGAGGAAGACGAGGAGGAGGAGGAGGAGGAAGATGAGGAGGAGGAAGACGCTGAGGCCCAGCACTGGGGATCTTCTTCTTTTGGGATCAAGCTTTGTTTTGGGGTTGTAGGGCCTATCGTAAGGGATTGCCCGGTTATTGAGGCACAGGCCTGGCGTTTCGTTCTGCATACGCTTAGGGCCTCTGGGGAATTTAAGGAGCAGTCGCCGGTTCAGGGGGGTGGGGGGATGTGTAAGTCTGGTCGTCTGGTTCGCAGCACACACCAAAGCCCAAAGAGCAGGTTTAGGGGAAGCTCATGCATTTTTTCTACCAGGGGCTCCGAGAACAACATCTTCCAGGGCGTCACATAGACGCATTCTGACCAGCTTACGCCGAAGCCGGACCCACCACCGTATTATGCGACCTCTACTTGGATGGTATGTAGTAGCCCAATTGTAATTATTTGTGCTCAGAACCCAATTATCACCCTATAAGGGTACTTAAGGGGCTTGCTTGTGGGTTATACTTTCCGGTCTCTTCTTCGTCCTAGCATCCCAAATTTACAGGCACTGTGGTCTAGCAGGGGGACCCCTAAACCCTAAACCCTAAACCCTAAACCCTAAACCCTAAACCCTAAAGCCTAGCAAACCAAAGGGGGGCCGGCAAGCAACATGCGCCTCGACCGGCTGATCCTTCCAGGCTTCTAGGGATTCTAGGGTACACCATGGGATGTTCCCCATAATACTAACAGTCCTTTACAGGCATTCTAGTAGGGAGTACTAGAATCCCTATTCAGGACTGTTAGTACAAGGGGGAACATCCCAACTTCTAGTGTACACCACGACCTTTCAGCCTAAAGTTTTGTACCTCTCTGTCATCATTTCTGACATCTGAGCTTCGACAATCTTCCCATAAGTTCTCTCGGCTTCTACTGCTTCACAGGAGACCATAAGGGGGTTTCCGAAGTTAGGGGGGTACCATATTGGGGTCACAGCCCCCTGAAGCCCCGAAGAACTTGGTTCCTATCGGCACCCAAGTCCTGTGTCCTGAACTGAGAGGACGATGAAGAGGAGGAAGTGGAGGAAGAGCAGGTGGTGGCGCCTACTAAACCCCTCCTCACCAAGCGCCAGGAAGAGGCCCCGGGCTCAGGTTTAGGGTTTAGGGCTTGGGGTTTAGGGTTTAGGGTTTAGGGTTTAGGGTTTAGGGTTTAGGGTTTAGGGTTTGGGGTCTATAGGCTTTAGACACACATACCTGGACCCTCCGAGAGATTTTATTCGCCCCATATAAGCCGGAATTATGGCTCAAGGCCGCGAGGCGTTGGGGGTCAAGAGTTGAGTTTATTTCGGAGGGACTATCTAGAGGAGTGGCTGGGGATGGTTGGTTTACGGTTTAGGGTTTATAGGGTTCAGGTTTTCACTTGTTGCATGTGCGGCACCTTTCTTGAATGCATTGGTTGATCTTCAGCCCTCTACCCGAAGCCCTCAGAACTCGGACCCACAGAAGGAAGCTCTGCTGGGGCCATGGGCAGGTAGAGGTCATTGACGATGGCGCGGAAGACGCCGGACAGCAGGCCGGTATACTGATGCTTGCCACTTAAGTGCAGCTGTGGGCCGTTTTAGGCTTCGGGTGTGGGGTCTCTTGTAGAAGCTCATGTCGCAGACTTGGACTGCGAACCTCTCCTGCCCCAAACTGTGGAAACCCTGTGCCGGGCCTGGCTCAAAGGCAGAAGATGCGCAAACGCGCATAAACCCAGACGTCTTGGGAGGCACACAGGGGCTGCGGCGCTTGGCGCCTAGGAATTTGGGCCCTATCTAAGGTTCAAAAAAGGGTTTCGCGTTGGGGGGGGGGGGGGGTTTGGGGGCGACCTGGCCCCCCCTCCGCCCCCTTGTTCCTGCTGCTTATCGCCATGGCAGCTGAGCTGTGGCAGAAGATGTGCTACTCCGGCTTGGCAGCCTCCTTCGGCATCCTCTGCATTCTGGCAATGGCCAACCAGGCCGGATACTTGCCCCCCCCCCCACCCCCCCTAAACTGTCAACCCTAAACTAAACTCCCCAGCCCTAAGCCCTAAACCCTAAACGAATCCTTTCCTAGAAGCCTTCAGCCCTGAACGCTGAGTAAAAGCCAGTGACCTTTCCATCGGGGTCCCAAAACCCACTGAGGCCATCTGCATGGTGGAGGCGGACCGTGTTGAGACCCAGGACCCCTAAACCCGAAACCCTAGACCCTAAACCAGGTGCTTTATATGAAGCCGTGAGTTGTCGACTCCCTCGACCCTCGAGGCCGGCCCTTAACCCTAAACCCTAGCCCTAAACCCCAAACCCCAAACCCTAAACCCTAAACCCTAAACCCTAAACCCTAAACCCTAAACCCTAAACCCTAAACCCTAAACCCTAAACCCTAAACCCTAAACCCTAAAAACCCTAAACCCAGCTGGGGGGGGGCGGAGGAGTGGGTTGCCCTGACGCTGCACTCCTGCGGGCTCATGGCGCTCCCCGTGCTGCTGCCGGGCTCTTCGGGCTGACTTAGGGTTTAGGAGGGTTTAGGGTTTAGGGTTTGTAGGGTTCAGGGTTTAGGGTTTAGGGTTCATAGGGTTTAGAGGGTTTAAGGGTTTCGGGTTTAGGGTTTAGGGTCTAGAGGGGTTTAGGGTTCAGGGTTTTCGGGTTTTAGCGTTTAGGGTTCAGGGTTAAGGGTTCGGGATCCGCAGAAGCGATGCACGAGATACCAGAAAGGGGAACTACATAGCAGTCACGCTTAGGGTCCAAGTGTTCTCTATACCCCCCGCATGGACCGATAACTGGATGCTTTCGACACCGCAGTCTTCGCGGGTTCAGGTCTTTGGATGAAAGTTTGGCTTGCAGGGCTCCGGGTTTAGGACGTCGACGAGGCCCACCCTAAACCCCAAACCCCAAACCCTAAACCCAACCCTGAACCCTAAACCCTAAATCCTAAACCCTAAACCCTACACCCCAAACCCCAAACCCAACCCTGAACCCTGACCTTCCCTCGGCTGCAGCTCCATAGCTGCAAGGCTCCGTCCTAGAAGACACACAAATAGAAGGATTAAGACCCCAAGAAGGTACCCGCCCATAATGTTTTGCAAGAAAATTCGAGAAGCTGAGAAACCTCACCGGAACCCCTGGCCCTTGGCCGGAGACCGCTACTCCAGGTGGATGCGTCGGCGGATGGCTGTCACTGGGCTGCTGAGTGAGGGAGGTCTGCTCAAGACCCTCCCTGAACAACCTAAACCCTAAACCCTATAAACCTCAAACACTAAACCCGAAACCCTAAACCCTGAACCCTATAAACCCCAAACCCTAAACCCGAAACCCGAAACCCTAGCCGTAACCCGCCTTCAACGGCTTGAAGATGGCAATTCGTGAGGCACCCTGCCTTTGGGGGTTGAGGCTTGGTTTTGAGAAGCATGGAAGTGTTGTGGGGTTTACGAACCCCAAGAAAATCAGCCCCAAACCCTAAGACCCTTAAGCCCCAAATCGTTTGCAACCCTGCAGCCCTTAAACCCTACAAAACCCTAACACCCGACAAACCCTAGTGCCCTACAACCCTGCAACCCTGCAACCCTAAACCCTAAGACCCCTAAAACCCTGCAACCCTAAAACCCTAAACCCTAAGACCCCTAAAACCCTAAAACCCTAAAACCCTAAACCTAAGACCCCTAAAACCCTAAAACCCTGAGATTGGAAAACCGACAGCCCAGGCCCTGGCCTTCGTCTTCTTCCTCTCCTCCTGGGTGGTCTCCTGGACCTCCTCCGACGTGAATCTGCTGAAATTCCTGGCCCTAGACCCGACCTCCCGAACTCCCAAAAGTGAGGCTTAGGGTTTAGGGTTTAGGGCTTTTTGGTCCATGCCGGATCCGGGCCTGTGCAGGCTGGCGAGAAGACGATACTCCTCTGCTTCGAGTGGTACGCGATAGTCCTGCCTTCTGAGCTGAGTTTTTTTTTTTTTTTTTTTTTTTTTGGGGGGGGGGGGGGGGGGTTTAGGGGATCCTGCTATTTAGGGGGGTTTATTTTGGGGGTCCCTTGTTCGATTGGGACTGGGAGATCGACCCTGTTCGCTTTCAGGGCCATGTGTCTCGGGCAGCAAGCAGATGTCGGGCCGACCACACCACCGAAGGCCCAAAAGCTCGGAATGCAACAGGAACGGGGCCAGAGGATACAGCACAAAGTTGGCATCCATCGCGGCAAGCATCGTCGTCGTCGAGTCATCATGGTCATCGTCATCAGAAGCGCCATTGCCATCATCACCGCTATCTCAGTCACCATGACCATTTCCGTCACCATCACCACCCGCACCATCATCATCACCACCACCACCACCAACAACGACGACGACATGCACGACGACGACGACGGCGACGACGACGGTCACGACGACGGTCACGACGACGGCGACGGCGACGATGGCGGCTACCCAGCAGCAGCAGCAGCAGCAGCAGCAGCAGCAGCAGCAGCAGCAGCAGCAGCAGCAGCAGCAGCAGCAGCAACAATGCTAATAGCAATAAGAGACAAGTGGGAAGCCACAAGTGAAACAAATATTCGTAACACGGTCAAATTGTCAACAAGCAGTACCGAGAAACAAGCGTAAGCCCTTGATAATGTTTACGGGCTCGTCCGTCTTAAGCCTGGGTTCTTGTTAATAAGCTTGATTCAAGTTACCAGAATCGGGATACTCTTTTCTATTTGAGCAAGAATCCCGAATCCTCGAGCAGGGGGTCCCGAAACCCTAAACCCTAGACCCTACACCCCTGAAACCTAAACCCTAAACCACCCCTGAACCCCAGACCCTAAACCCTAAACCCTACACCACGGAACCCTAACCGTAAACCCTACTAAACACTGGTGCCCTGAAACTGGTTGGCCAGGCTGGCAGTCGGTGTGCATTTGGACCAGCGCCGCCGGCGTGATCCCCCCAAGGAGGGCCCGAAGGAGTCGAGGGTTCAGGGTTTGGGGTCTTTAGGGTCTTTAGGGTCTTTAGGGTCTTTAGCATTTTCAGGGTCTAGAGGGTCTAGAGGGTCTAGAGGGTCTAGAGGGTCTAGAGGGTCTAGAGGGTCTATAGGGTCTAGGGTTTAGGGTTGGTTCAGGGTTTATGGCTTCCGGTTTCGGAGGCGGGCTTTTGGTGTCTACCGGGGCATGTTAGTTGTTTAGTTTTTGTTTGTCTTTCGGGCTTGTTTTAAGGTTTCTTTTTTTTGGGTTGGGGGTGCCTTTAGGACCTTAACTATGGCGTTTGGGGTCTTGAGGGTCTTTAGGGTCATAGGGATCAGAAGCGGGTTTCGGCTTAGGACGGTTTTTGGGTGTTGGGTTTAGGGTTTGGGGTTTAGGATCTCGAAACCCACAAGTTCTGGATTCTAGGCTTCGGCCCGAATGGCCCAAAGTCCCTACCTCGACAGCCTGTCGAACCCATACTCAACACCCTGAACCGGCCTTTAGTGAAACCCTACCTGAGATGAGGCCACTCCTGGGACGGTATTTCTCAAAGTAGGGCTACCCCCACATATACCCCAACATACTCTCATCATCATTACAGGAAACCCCCCCCCCCCAACAAAAAGGACAAACCCTAAACCCTAAACCTGAAAAAAAACTCTAAACCTTAAACAATTACCCTAAACCCTAAACCCTAAACCCTAAACCCTAAACCCTAAACCCTAAACCCTAAACCCTAAACCCTAAGCGCTAAACCCTAAACCCTAAACCCTAAACCCTGTCTTCCGGAACCCCCCCCCCCCCCCCCCCCCCCCCACCCAGGAGGTCAGCTGTGTTTGGGCCCCATGCCGCTTTGACCTTCGTCAGTCAAGTCCCGAGTTCCACAGCTTCGAGGCAGGCCCAGGCTTCGGTTAGGGTTTGGGTTTAGGGTTTAGGTTTAGGGTTTTTTAGGGTTTAGGGTTTAGGGGGTTTAGGGTTTAGGGTTTAGGGTTAGGGTTTAGGGTTTATGGTTTAGTTTAGGTTTAGGGTTTAGGGTTTAGGGTTTAGGGTTTAGGGTTTAGGGTTTAGGGTTTAGGGTTTAGGGTTTAGGGTTTAGGGTTTAGGGTTTAGGGTTTAGGGTTTAGGCTTCAGGGTTCAGGGTTTAGAGTTTAGCGTTTAGCGTTTAGGGTTTAGGTTAGGGCTTAAGAGGCTGCGCTTTAGGGTTGCGCCGAACTAAACCATCACCCCGAAATACGCCTAGCTTCACTCAAAGCGAAATTCTACACCCCAAACAGACCCAAAAGTCTCTGACCCCAGACCCCTGCCCCTTGTAAGCTTTGGATCCTAAACCCGGTTTAGGTTTCGGGTTTAGGGTTTAGGGGCATCCTCTATTGTCCCAATCCATCTGTGCCCTAACCCCGAGACCTTATACATCATCCCTCGAAACTGGGAACCCCACCCCCCCCCCCCCCCCGTCCGCCCCTACCCCCCCTACAAGCACACAGAAACCCACAACCCTAAACCCCAAAACTCGCAAAAGCCGGAACCTTAAACCCAATAAACCCCCAACAGCCCGAAACTAGAAAACCCAAACCCTAGATACCCGAAAAACCCAAAGCCCGTTAAACCCCCAAAACCCTAAAGCCCGAAGCCCTAAACCCTAGCCCTAAACCCTAAGCCCTAAAGCCCTAAACCCTATCCCTAAACCCTAAACACTCTTCAGGTCAAATCCGGGGATCCGGTTAGCTGGACTTCTCACGGCCCGACGCCGCTTGTGGCACCGAGCCTGGCCGCTCGGCATCTCAGAGTCTTTGGGAGCAAGTTATGCCAGACTTGAAATCCCATGGCCGCGAGAGGTCGGGGATCTTCAAACTTGTCTCTGCTGCCTGGACGACTTTGACCCGGATTCCAAGGTCGGAACACGTGGTTCGAAGGTAGGGCTTAGGGTTTAGGGTTTAGGATTTAGGGTTTAGGGTTTAGGGTTTATAGGTTTTAGGTCTTAGGGTTTCGGGTTAGGGTTTAGGGCTTAGGGCTTAAAATGCATTACCAGCATCTACGAAATCTAAGCCCCAAATTGCTGATGTATGAAGCCTTGTTATTCTAGCCTCTCTTTGCCGGGGATCTTGATGTACACAGACACACAATGACCCGCCCGAACTGCGTTGCTCAGCCAGCTGGCCAATGTTAGTGGACTTCATAATGCACACTCAGTTTCAGTGGTTTACGACTTGAAGCTGTGCCCTTCTCTCATCCCTCTAGAAGGGAGATGTAGGGGGGATATAAGGTGCCTTCTAAGAACTTCGAAAAAAGGCAAGAACCCCGGCTCCCGGCGTCGAAACTGTGACCGGGTCGCTTCTGGGCTGGTGCCATCAAAGGAGAACACTTGGGGGTTTCTGAAACTTGGGGTACCCATTTTTGGGGCCCCTATAAATGGGTTTATAGTATGTTTTCGGGGGTGGTATATTTGGGGGACCACCTTTTTTTGGAACATACCCATTTCAGGCAACATGCCAAAGCCCCAATATACCAAACTACACATGACACCTGAACAGGCTGACTCCTAAAAAAACCCTGCTACCCCACCGGAGGTGGCAATCCTGCCATGTGGGCACATCTTCCACCAAGAGTGTGTGGCCGCATGGTCGGTCCTCCAGGTGCCCGCTCAGACTGTGAGACCCTAATGGCCTCTGCGTGTTGTCCAGGGGTTGGGGTGTTGGAGTTATTTGTTAACGTATTCGTGTAGAGGTGAACTCGGGTACATGGTTAACACCCCTAAACCCTAAACCCTAAACCCTAAACCCTAAACCCCACAACCCTAAAGCACAGAAACCTCCGGTCGATCTGCCAGGTTCACTCCAACTGCCGCTGCCCGACTTGCAGCCACAGCTTCTTGGCACCTCACGCTTGTGTGTGAGGCCGCAGTGGGGGTTTAGGGTTTAGGGTTTAAGGTTTATGGGGTTTAGGGTTTCGGGTTTGGGGTTTAGGGTTTAGGGTTTAGGGTTCAGGGTTTCGGCTTTAGGCTTTAGGCTTTATGGAAACTCTGTGTGCCGGCCAACCCTGGCGACAGCCGCCCGACGTGCGCGGTCACACAGCGCAGGGCCACGCATTTGCACCATGTGATGCTGTACATGCATAGATATACGGTACTGTAGTCTAGTCTGAGACTTCTTATGCATGGACTGAGTCTTACCTAGCGTGGTTTACCGTTTTGTTGGAACTGTTGCCCTGCCATAGAGTGCTGCTAAGCGGCCCACGAGAATAGGCGGCTAACGTTAGGAAGCGTGGGGTGGGCGAGCTAAGCCGGCTGCCGAGCCACCCCCCAGATTTACAACCATCGTTTCAGCGGATGCACATGTCATCTTTAGTTCGGAGGGAATTTAAACACACTCTGAGACTGCCTCCAGGCCCCCAACGCGGGGGGGGGTGAGGGCTCGAGGGCTGACGGTCTGTGGGTGCTCATCAGTCCGCCGCTAGATCTGAGTCTTAAACCTCCAGCCCCAAACCCCAAACCCCCCACACCCGAAATCCTAAACCCTGAACCCTGCACTCTAAACCCTAAGCCCCTAAACTCAGTGCATTCCGGGGCTTCCCATCTATTCTGTTTCGCGATTGCCTTCTGGGGAGGGTACAATACTTCCGGGCATCCCATACGCCCATACTCCGTGTTGCCAAACTCAGGGACCTCAGGCGGCCACTTTAGGTCTTCAGGGTTTCAGGGGGAGGTGCAGGCCTTTGCTCTTGGGGGGTCGGGGGCAGTGCATGTGCACAGTGAACACAGAACTTGCTGGAAGCCGGTTCCCTGTGCAAGGGGCCGAGCCCGACAGTAGCAGATGTCCAGATCGTTTCCTCTGAAGAACAGCCTTCAGACGGTGCTTGCGGGAACCAGCCTGACTAAAGGCATGAGGGTTTAGGGTGTTGGGGGCGCAGGTATACCTTCTCAGGGCCCAAGGGTTCAACCTTGGATTCCAGATTCAGAAAGCTGGTGCAGTGTAAGCCCTTGTTCGGTCCAAGTGATGCCAACACCCCTCCCAAAACTGCTACGGTTCCGCACAAACTGCAAATTTCCTGGAGGAAATTGGAGGAACCCTGAGGACCCCATATACCTACCTCAGAAGAGACTCAAAGGAGACTGGGTAAAGGTGGTTTAGGGTTTAGGGGTTTATTGGGTAGGAACGCATGTGTTATCTTCGGCCTCCTTATGCGGGTTCTCACGATTTCCCTTGGAAAGTACAGCACCACGCTCAGTTCCGCTTTCCACCACGAGATGTGCCGAGAAGCGTGAGCGAGAGAAAAAGTCCGTCCGACCACGGGGGTCAGGGTTTTTTGGGGGGGTAAGGGCCATGAACCCTAAACCCTAACCCCTCAACCCTAAACCCTAAACCCTATAAACCCTAAACCCTAAACCCTAAACCTAAAGGGCTCGAGGGTTTAGCGCTTTAGGGATCGGATCCCCATCCTTGGTTCAGGGCCGGCATGGCTTTGAGGGCTCTTTGGTCTAGGGTGTAGAATGCCGCGGTTTGTGGTTTAGGGCTTAGGGCTGGGGTTTAGGGTTTGGGTTTGGGGGTTCAGGGTTCACGGTCTGATGTTGTCCTTCTTTTCGCGTGGCTTCTTGTGGGTTGCAGACCCACTGCGCAAGTCATGTTCGGAGCCTTTTGGGCCTGAAGATGTATGTCGAAGGTGGAGGGTTCAGGGGGTCCGTAACAAGGGTTCCCCACACTAATTATTATCAACAAACGCATTGCCTGAATTTCCAAACCCGTAAACACTCGAACTCTATAGGCCCTAAACCCTGAACCTAACCCTATATCCACCCGACAATCCCGGCTAACTCTACGGCACTTCCAGGGGGAGGAGTGGGAAAAGTGGCGTCGTGATTTGCTGGAGGACCTGCCAGGGTTCAGGGTTCAGGGTTTATCGGTTCTTGGGCTTAGGGTTTGCTTAGGGTTTATGGCTGCTGGGGATTTCAAGGGGTTGAGGATTGAGGCTTCAAGAACTGTAGGCTCGAGAGTTCCTCTGCGTGTTTTTTCTTGAATTTTACAGCTTCGGGGTCATTTTGAAAGTTTAGGGATTTTATGCTTCTTGCCCGTGCTGTAGGATTGTCGGGGGGCGGGGGAGGAGCCCCCGAGAAGTTCATCATGCTTGCACCCGGCATATGACCTCTAAACCCCGAAACCTCAATCCCTCAACCTCTAACCCCTAGAACCTCGAAGGCTCTAAAGCCCTGCGCGCCCTCAACCCTTTAAACTCTAGACTCTAGACCTCTAAAACCCGAAGCCCCTAAACCCCTAAACCTCCAACACCTAAAACCTCAAAGCTCTAAGAACCCCTACACACCCTGAACCCTCAGCCCCTTCAGAGATACACCCTAAACCCTAGACCCTAGCCCTAAACCCTAGACCCTAGCCCTAAACCCTCAACCCTAAACCCCAAACCCTGCAAGCCCCTGCAGTGCCGGTTCGCGAAGCCAGGGCGAGCCGGAACCTGAGCAGACGTCCCAGTGGCCAGACACCTCCGAGACTTGGCAGGTGCACCGGTTTAGGGTTTAGGGTTTAGGGTTTAGGGTTTAGGGTTTAGGGTTTAGGGTTTAGGGTTTTCCGGGCAATTTCAGGCTTTGAGGCTGTTTTGTAGGGGGTCTAGGATTTCGAGGCTTGCAAGGGAATCGGAAGGAGTAAGTTGTTCCCGTGTTCCCTTGACATCGCCTGGTATTGTCAAGAAGAGGCCACCCAAAACCCTAAACCCTAAACCTTAAACCCTAAACCCTAAACCCTAACTTTTATAAAGACTGCTTTTCTTTTGGCGAGCAGGCTTAGGCAAGGAGCTGGTTCAATCCCAATCACAGCTGGAGCCCGCAATTCTCTTCTCCGAAAGTATGGTTTCTTTTTGGCTGCCCTGAACCCGAAACCCGCTAAACCCAAACTCGGTCGCGTGAGGGCCGTGGTCTAGCAGGGCATCCGAAAGCCAAAAACCCTAAGCCCTAAACCCTAACCCCTAAACCCTAAACCCTATAGACCCTCAACCCCAAACCCTAAACCCTAAACTCCCGAACCCTAACCTGAGCCGGCCAACTGGGCCCATCTTTTCGAGGGGCATGTACCCTTCTCCCCCTGCAGCGAGTAAGGAAATCTTATGCCGCCTTGGGCGAGGGAAAATCCCTATGCAAGCCAACTCACTTCGAGTTTTGCAGGAAACATGACAAGTCAGTGTTGAAGGTTTAGGCTATTTAGGGTTTTTTTCGGGTTGAGGGGTTAGGGTTGACAACCGGAACAAACGCACAGAGACGAAGTTTGGCAGGCCCCGAAAGAGCCTGACACGGGCCCTTTCGCACCGGGCTTGATCTCGAGCCCCAAGAGCGTGCGGAGCCCCAATAACGAGAGTTGTTTGTTCAAAAGGGTCGGGGTTTTTGGAATTCAGGTCCTTGCCCGAAAAGGGCCCATGTATACCTATGCAGGGTATGATTGAGCCACCCAATGGCCATTTCGAGTCGAGCCAGCTCCCCACCCAAGGAGAGGCCCCAACAAAGACCTGAGCCACTCTGAGGCAAACGCCGCCAAAGCCGTGGCGGGGATCCCGAAAATTTCCCACTTTTGGGATCTCACCGGGCTCAGGGTGTTTTTAGGACTTTTTCGGGCTCATAGGGATTATATATAGGGTTTGGGGGTTCGGCTGTAGGGTTTTTCGTGTTCGGTGGGGTGTCCGGAATGTATTTAGATGCATCGACATGCATAGATTGCCCTCCTCAAACCAGCCCCCTAACTAGGTAGGCCCTTAGGACATTTTATATATTCCCTCATTGGGTATAAGAGCATCCTTTTCAGGAATATTTTTCAGAGGGGGGTTGGTCGATTCTTGTACTGGGCCCCGGTGTAGGCCCTTGTTCCCTTTTTTTTTTTGGGGGGGGGGGGGGCCTAGGTTCCCTTCTAATTTCCCTTTCAAGCAAAAACTTGCTGGGTCTTGGTGTGTTCTTTGTTTTTTTGTTTTTTTGCCTAGGGCCCTTGTTTGTAGGGATAGGATACATGAAAACTGAAGGCTCACAGTGCGTCCGAACACATAGCCCGAAACACAAACCCCCTAAACCCCTGAAACCTGATCACTTGCCTGAAACCCATCCCCAAACCCTAAAGACCCTGAAGCCTAATCCCTAAGCCACTGCCGGGTTCAACCCCTAAGCCTCTGCCCGAGACCCCCCCCCCCCTCTTGTCCGTATGTCACGATGACCAACGCGGCCGACATCTTCAGCCCGAGGCGCCGGGCTCAGACCCCTAATCCCTATTCCTAATTAAGCCTAGGGGTTTAGGGGTTTTGGGGTTTAGGGGTTTAACATGAGTGCATTTGCGACATGAGTGCATGTGCGAGGGGAGCTGTGCTTCTCCGGACGCCTTGGTGGCAACGCCAAGGTGTCTGGAGATCCCAGCTCAATATGGCCTTGCTCCTCCGGGCGCCTTGGTGGCAGTTGCCGCCTCGGTGCCTTGGAGGTCTTGGTCTTGTGGATGGCCTTGCTCCTCCGGGCGCCTTGGTGGCAACTGCCGCCTCGGTGCCTTGGAGGTCTTGGTCTTGTGGATGGCCTTGCTCCTCCGGGCGCCTTGGTGGCAACTGCCGCCTCGGTGCCTTGGCGGTCTTGGTCTAGATGCGGCGGCCATGCTCTTTCAGACGCCTCGGTGGCAACGCCCTGGTGTTTGAGAGTCATGAGCCAGGAGGCTTCAGAACGAGCACCGTCCGAGGGCCCGAGGGTCCGAGGGATTGAGGGGGATTCGGAAGGCTCTGGGGTCTCAAAAGGCATGAAATGATTCTGATTTTGGATTTGTGTGGGGCAGTAGGGAGGGGGGGGGGATGTCAAATTCTGAGGTGTCATCGCCCGAAAACCCGTCACTGCTGTCCTGCCATCATGTTTTACAGTTTGAGCCCGAGTCATCACAT